CTCGGGTAAGCGGGTCGGAAGAGCACGGAACTCCTCAGTCTGTGTGTATGCTGGGGTATAGAGCCCCATCCTCCATCCGAGCTCAGCCACAGTGATGGAGTGCTCCATGCCTAGAATAGTAAACCTCATCCGAGACTCTGACCCAATAACAGCACCCTCCTGCACAGCCTGTCCGTAATGAGTGAACTGAACGGAGCACAGAAACTCCATCGTCAATGGAAGGCTGGCCCTCTCCTGAACGAATAGAATCCTCCGCCATAAAGAGTCTCCTAGCAGGGCATCAATGTCATCCCAGTACCCCCATTCCTCTAGCATCGTCGGGTCCAGGATCATGGGAGGAAGGAGTGTGCGGTATTGCCCCCATGCCTGGAAGCGTCTGCGATCAGCAATAGTAGCAAAGGGGATATCAGGCTGTGGCGGCGGGTCTTCCCGTCCTAGTGGTGGCTCCTCGAAAATGGGATCGTCACGTCTTCCTCCAGACATCTGCAAGAAATAAACAAAGTAAAATATTTTTGGGTTAGTTTTTTTTTTTTTTTTTTTTTTTTTTTTTTTTTTTTTGGTTGGGTTGCCTCCCAATGAGCGCTTCTTTAACGTCACTAGCTTGACGAATGTCCTCCTTCGGTTCAAAATTTTTGGAGATAGAGAATCTCCTTGCTTTTTTCAATTGGGCCGCCATGGTAGAGTTTAAGTTGGTGGCCGTTGACTTTAAAGGGACCCCCATTAGCATCTTCAATCTCAACGGTTCCGTAGGGGTAAGCTTTTATGACCTTGAACGGTCCGGACCATCTTGATTTAAGCTTTCCTGGAAAAAGCTTTAACCGTGAGTTGAATAATAACACCTTATCTCCAGCATTGAAATCACGAGCCTTGATGTGTTGATCATGGTAGAGTTTGGCCCGTTCCTTGTAAAGTTTGGAATTATGAAAAGCTTGCGCTCTCCACTCTTCCAGTTCATTCAGCTGGTAAAATCGTTCCTTCCCTGCAGTATCCAGTTTAAAACAGACATTTTTCATCGCCCAAAGTGCTTTATGCTCGAGTTCGACGGGTAAGTGGCAAGACTTCCCGTATACAAGGCGAAAAGGTGTGGTTCCGATCGGGGTTTTGTAAGCAGTCCGAAATGCCCAAAGAGCGTCGTCAAGTTTAGTTGACCAGTCTTTTCTGGTCTGGGCAACAGTTTTCTCCAGAATGGACTTCAAATCCCTGTTAGCGTTTTCCACTTGTCCCTGAGTCTGGGGGTGGTACGCTACTCCGCTTCGATGTTGGACTCCATATTTGGCCAAAATTCTAGCCATTGGGTCATTGTGGAAATGAGTCCCTCTATCGCTGATCAAAACCCTGGGCACACCAAATCTGGTAAAGAGCTTTTTCAGAAAATTCACGACTACTCGAGAGTCGTTGGTGACACAGGCCTGGGCTTCGACCCATTTAGAAACATAATCAATGGCCACAAGAATGTATTTGTTTCCTCTTGAGCTTGGGAAAGGTCCAACAAAGTCGATGCCCCAAACATCAAATACCTCACAAGGTAAGATAAAGTGTTGGGGCATCTCATTGCGCCCAGAAATGTTCCCGATTCGTTGACAGTTATCACAAGAGGAAACAAATTCATTAGCATCTTTAAAAATCGTGGGCCAGAAGTACCCACAGTCCAAAACCCGCCTTGCGGTTCTATTCCCTGAAAAGTGGCCCCCAGTAGGACCGTTGTGACAATGCTCTAAAATGTCCCTTGCCTCAGCTTCAGTAACACATCTTCTCACCACCTGGTCAGCACAAATTCGGAATAGATATGGATCATCCCAAAAATAGTGCTTTGCTTCTGATAGGAACCGCCTTTTCATGTGCCTTGTCAGTTCGGTAGGCTCGACTTTACCAACAAGGTAGTTGGCAATGTCGGCATACCACGGTGTTTGCTCCTTGGCGGAAATCGCCATCAATCTCTCAGCAGGAAAAAGCTCCTCAATTTCGCATTTTCCGAAAGTTTCTGCTAACTCGGCATCTAACCTCGAGAGGTGATCAGCTGCCTGATTAGCAGACCCTTTTCGGTCCCTGATTTCAATATCAAATTCCTGCAACAAAAGAACCCAGCGTAACAGTCTAGGCTTAGCATCATGCTTTTGGAGGAGATATCTAATGGCCGAATGGTCGGTATAGATAATAACCTTCGAAAGAATGATGTAAGTCCTAAACTTCTCTAAAGCACAAACAATAGCAAGGAATTCTTTTTCAGTGGTGGTGTAGTTGAGTTGTGGCCCTGACAGAGTTTTGCTAGCGTAGTAGATTGGGTGGAAGTTCTTGTCCTTCCTTTGACCAAGGATGGCCCCCACTACTAAGTCACTAGCGTCACACATGAGTTCAAAGGGTAAGCTCCAATCTGGGGCCACAAGCACAGGTGCATTGATCAGTTGTGTTTTAAGTGCTTGGAAAGCATGGTGACATTCATCAGAGAATATAAAAACCGCATCTTTTTCAAGTAACCGAGTGAGAGGTTTTGCGATTTTAGAGAAATCCTTTATAAAACGACGATAAAAGCCCGCGTGTCCTAAGAAGCTGCGGATGGCTTTTACCGTGGTTGGTGGAGGAAGTTTCTCTATTGTCTCAATTTTTGCACGGTCCACCTCTACCCCGTTACTTGACACTTTATGTCCAAGTACTATACCCTCTTTCACAAGGAAGTGACATTTCTCCCAACTTAGGGCTAAATGGGTTTCCTTGCAGCGGATAAGTACTTTTTCCAGGTTTTCAAGGCATTTTTCAAATGTTTCCCCAAAAATAGAGAAGTCATCCATGAATACCTCCATGAAGTGGCCAATGTATTTTTCAAAAATGGCAATCATGCACCTCATGAAGGTGGCAGGGGCATTACAGAGACCAAAAGACATCCTACGAAAAGCAAAGGTCCCAAAAGGGCATGTAAACGTAGTTTTGTCTTGGTCTTCCGGGTTGACATGGATTTGGAAGTATCCACTCATGCCATCCAGGAAACAGTAGTGACTATGGCCTGCCAACCTCTCTATTAATTGATCGATGAAGGGAAGGGGAAAATGGTCTTTCCGGGTGGCTTCGTTCAGTTTGCGGTAATCGATTACCATTCGCCACCCGGTAACAGTTCGACTGGGTAGAAGTTCGCCCTTTTCATTTTTCATGACGGTCATTCCCCCCTTTTTGGGGACAACATGAATAGGGCTTACCCACTGGCTATCAGAGATGGGGTAAATGATACCCGCATCCAGCAGTTTGACAATCTCGGCACGCACTACTTCCATCATGTTTGGGTTTAAACGTCGTTGTGGTTGGACAACTGGTTTAAACCCTTCCTCAATTTTGATGGTGTGGGTACAAAAGGTGGGGCTAATTCCATTGATGTCCTCAAGTTTCCAAGCAATTGCTTGCTTGTGTGTCTTAAGGACTCCAAGTAATTTCTCCCTTTGTTCCTCACTTAAGTGTGCGGCGATGACGACAGGGCATTTGCCTTCGTCATCCAAGAATGCATATTCTAAGTGGTCGGGCAGTTTCTTTAGTTCGAGGGGGTGGTCGTTTTTCAAGTTTTGTTCATTTTTCTCCCCCTCAAACTCAGTCAATACTTCGTTAGAAGCTTGATCAATCAGCGCATCCTCACAACTCTCACATGCATCACTCACATCACTGTTGGCCTTTTTTAACAGACATGCTTCATCAGTTATATGTCCATTTTCTTCCCCAAACAGATACCCTTCAATAGACTCAAAGGTATCAAGAAAATGACATCCTTGAAAGGAATCTGTGGGGTGTTTCATAACATCTGAGAGTCGGAAGGTGCATAGATCATCTCCGACTCTTAGAGTTAATGAGCCATCAGTGACATCAATCAAGGCCCTGGCGGTAGCCAGAAAGGGCCTTCCCAGAATAAGAGGTGTTTCCCTATCCTCTTCCATGTCCATTACTACAAAGTCGACTGGGAAAATGAATTTGTCAACCTTGACCAAGACGTCTTCAACAATTCCTTTCGGATATTTGACTGAGCGATCAGCCAGTTGAAGACACATCCTGGTAGGTTTCATTTCCCCAAGTCCTAGCTTTTCGACTATAGAGGAAGGCATCAGATTGATACTTGCCCCTAGGTCAGCTAGAGCATTATTAAAATTGAAATTGTCTATAGAGCAAGGGATAGTGAAACTACCTGGATCCTTTAGCTTTTCGGGTATTGACCTTAGAACCACGGCCGAGCATTCTGCGTTCAAGTCCACGACTGAGAGCTCCTGCAGCTGCCTTTTGTTTGTCAGCAAGTCTTTGAAAAACTTGGCATATTTGGGCATCTCCGCTAAGGCATCCATCAGCGGCAGGTTGACGTGGAGTTGTTTGAGTAGGTCCAGGAATTTGTTGTACTTCCTGCTATCGTCATCATTTCTAACCCGTGAAGGAAACGGGAGAGAAGGTTTGACGATAGTGACCTTTGTGTTAGGGCGTGTTGGTTCCATGCTCTTCTCAGTTGGAGCATCAGTTTGTTGCTCAGGTTCTATGATCAGAGTATCATCTTTGTCTTTCTGATCGACTTCTTTCGTCTGTTTCCCACTTCGGAGAGTGATGGCTTGCACATGTTCACGGGGGTTTGGTTCCGTGGTGCTAGGCAAGTTGCCTGGCTGACGACCGGGAACATTGTTCTGATTAATTTGCATCATCAGATTTTTGATCTGATTGTCAGTGCTGGCCTTGTATCTTGTTATTTCCTCCCGTGTCCTTGCCAGTTCTGCTACCAGCAAGCCTATCTCTGATGGCTGGGCAGCCTCCGTTTGTCGTTGGTGTGGAGGCACATAAGCTTGGTTGTTTTGTTGGCTTGATGCACCTCCCTGGTTACGACCTTGGAAGTTGTTGCCTTGATTGTTGTTGGAGTAATTTTGATTACCTTGATAACCGCCGCGAGGAGGACCATTGTTGTAATCCCCCCGCCATTGGTTACTGATGGAAGTAAATCCACCGGAAAATAATTAATAAGAGATAGCCGAAAATAATTAAGGTGCTCAGGATAATCTTTAGAGAGATAAATGTATGTAGTGTATTCAGTGTAATGAGCTTTCCAAAGATTACATGATTTTATAGTAGGAAATAAGACATAAAAGATTTGGGCGACGTGGTCGCCATGTTCGTATTGATACGCAAATCACTAATCCGGATCCGCGGGATCCTTTGTTGATTGTGTGTATCTCTGAAAAGACGTCATTGATGTAGTTTGTCGTACGGAGTTGCCATGTAGCTTGCCATGATGTCCAGAGACACCATGCATAGATTATTTGGATAGGCTTCAACTACCATGTCCAGGGTCGCTGTGGACGCTCCTTTGGCTAAGGTACTTGATCGCGTCCATGGTTGCTGTGGACATGCTCTCTGGATAAGCCTACCCCGACATCCACGGTCACTGTGTAGTTCCTGATCTTCTATTAACTTGCGTCCACAGTCGTCATGTACAGTATTTTATCTTCTAACCCGCGCGTGGTCACCATGTACGAGCTCTTCTCATACCTTGTCATCATCCGTGCATAGTTACCATGCACATCAACCTCTAACTGTTTTCATCCATGTTAACCCGGTCAACATTTATCCATGGTTGGGATAATTATACCATCACAAGCCCCCCACTCCTTAAGCCAAATAGCATATTGGCTATAAGGAGTGTAGACACAGTTACCGTGTCAACCTTGAGCGTACATGGTCACCATGTCAACCTTTGTTATTTGCTTTTAACCCATTCAATCATTTAGTTTTTTATTTTTTATTTTTAACCAAAAATGTGTATCTTATCTTCCCCATTTTACTTTCTTCCTGGCAGCTTGGTTGGGTGAGGGTCAGCCACCGTCATTGTTGTACCGCCCAGGTCGCAGCTCGCCGGCAACCAGGCCAGCGCCGTCTGCCGCTCGCCGGCGTCTATCCACGCCACCAGCAAGCCCACTCAGAGTTCCCGCCTGCCACCGCCCTTTTCAGCCTCCGACGGCTGCCGCGAGTAAACCGAACACCTCAACTTCACCAGCGTGGACCCTGTAGCGCCGGACGCCAGATTTTGCAGCTTAACCAGCACTGTCGTCGGTTATACCCGCCCCAGGTTGCGGTCCGTTTTTCTGCTGCGCCCTATCCCGGTAGCCGCCATCAGTCCTTCGTCGTCAGACACCAGCGAACTCCAGTGACATCAAGGAATTTCTCTCCGTCGTCGTCTACTTCCTGCGGCGTCGTTGTTCTGCACCGGGCTCCTCTGTCGTTGTCCTGGATTTTCCGCCGCTGCTGCTAAGGTACGCACAGAGGTACGCTCCCTGCATTCTCCCTCTTTCCTTTTATTTGTTATTTTGACTTTTCCTTTTTAAAGCTTCTCCGTATTAATTTTGGCTATGAAACATACTTTGTAGTTCGTAGCTCCTTTGTTGCCCATGTAGTGACATCCTTTTCATTTTTATTTGAATAGCTGCCACCATTTATGGATATATTAGATTCAATAAACTCTGATGAATTGCTCAGTGATGACGGAGAATTAGTGTTGGGGAATTTTCCTCATCCCTGGGCAGATGTTAATTCTGATGTTGAAGAAATTAGTCCCATAAAGCCACGAGCCGCTTCAGTCAAACCACCAAAGCGTCGCTACCGTGGTCCGTATCCACCCTTAGACCCGAGCCCCATCTTACACTACAGGTCGCGCCTCTCAGTTTCCAAGTTTGAAAAGTATAAGAAATTTTTTCCGTCCACAGTGACTGTCCGATGTCCCGATTCGGAGGATATTGTAACCGATCCTCCTAAAGGTCACTTTTTTGGGGTGCATATTCTCTCCATAAAATTAGGATTCCGCTTTCCCACGCACCCTTTGATTATTGAGTTTTTAAATGACCTTGAAATTTCACCTTGTCACCTGACTCCGCTCGGTCATCAGTATCTGGTAGCTTTCTTAATTAGTCCGGTGTGAAACACTTGGGATTGAATCGTCCCTAGACCTCTTCAAGCATATGTTCCGAGCTGGGCAGTGCTCGGCATCTGATAGTCTGTCCTGGGTGTCTATCTCTCAGCGCAACCACTTTGACATGTGGAAGGTCACTCGTAGCAACGAAGCCAATTGGAAAGAAGAATTTGTCTATGTGTCGTCTGGATCTCCGTTACCTTTTTCATCGTCTTTGAATTGTCGATTTAAGAAGTATTCGTACCCGAAACTTCCAGTTGACCAGGAGACATGGCCGGCTATGATTCTTTCTGGAGGACCGTATAGCCTCTCTGCCTTTACTTCCGAAGACCGCCTAACCACGGTTGGACTCTATTCGCCGTCACCATGTTCGGGTGCACACGCATCCACGTCCACGGATCAAGGTTGTCCACAGTTACTTTGTCTATAGGAGATAATACACGCATATATATATTAACTAACACATATGCACACCCCCTTTTTTTGCAGATATGACATCGCGGTTGGAGATGTTCCAAAGCTTCGACCAGGATGGGCCTCGCGGTAGTGACCAGGGGCGCTCTGACAAGAAACCAAGGGTTCCCTCCGTCACAAAAGGCAAGGATGCCATTGTAACTGTGCCTTCATCCATTGCAAAACGCAGGGCCGCTAGCCCCGCAGCCCGCGTCACCCGTAGCATGAGTGATATTCCCACGGCGGGGATGACTACTTGGTTACGAGGTAACCTTGAGTTACCTCCGCTCTTATCACAGGTGATCACGGCGACTGAGAAGGAGAAAATTTCAACACTTGACCATGCTGCTTTAGAGAAGAGGAGCCACCATGGCCTGGCCGAGGTAACCCTCCCATTTCCCCGTTACCTTTTATTTATGCATCCCGTGATACTAATTTTTATTTTTTTTTTGTAGCTACTGTTGTCCATCTCCGAGGTGAGCCGAAGGAAAGATGAGCGCGAGAAAGATTTGTCGCTACAACTCACCGAATTAGCGAAGGAGGTGGCATCGCTCAAGCTCGTGCGTGACTCACATGCAGCCGAGGTCACTGCGCTTAAAGAAATGCACGCCGTGGAGTTGGCCAATGCAAGGGGGCGGGCCGTGGATGCATACAAGAATTCTCCAGAGTTCGTGTCTGATCAGGAAGCATACATTAATGCCCACTTGAACGATATTAACAAGCATTGGTTGTCTACTCCGGAAGGTCGTGAGAAACTGGCCTCAGAGAGCTACATCTCCTACCAGATCGGGATATATGCCACTCAACAGAAAATATATCCTATCTTGAGGGATAAGGCTGGTACCTCTTGCATCACTGATTGGGGACTTCCTCCTGAGGTTCCCAACCCTGAGATCCCGGTAGCCAACACGCCCCTGGACTACATTCCTTTTGACAGACTCCCCACTGATGAGGAGCTTGGCGATCTTCCTTCCGAGACAGGTCACCCAGCTTCGACTGCTTCTGTGCCTTAGAGCATGCATGGGAGTGACGGATGGACGTAGTGTAGACTTTAATTCTGTCATGTCTTCAATTACGAGTACCCGAATTGCTAAACATGTTTTGAATTTCATAAAATAATAATAATGCATGTCTTATTTTCCTTTCGTTATTGTTTAGTATTATCGCATAATTAATTATTTGACCAACATTTAGGTTTTATGAGACCACGTTGTGACCATGCCTTGTTTGGCATGGTTTGTGTGATCATTTATAGTAGTGTACGGTGATACTACACCAAGTGTATAACTTTGGTGCATTTATCGCCCCGTATCTGCCTAATTTTCAATTGAGGCATTGTGCATTTAGATAGAGTGACTGAGGACAACGATAGGCACAAGGTGTCGTTGACACCTCCTCCTTCGCTACATTGCGCGCATCACTTATTCCCAAAAAATAGGACTAAGTGAGCGAACCTAACACCTGAGTGACTTAGGCTTGCTCTGGGGCACACAACGTTTTTTGGGAAACATGGCCGCTATCCGATATATTTCACAGATGCATCCTGACCATACAACCCTGAGGGTTACGCATTTGTTGGGATCGATTTGCGATGTATCCTCGTCCCCTTTCTAGGGGCGAGTCTATACCCCTTGCGTGTTGAGAATTTCAGCTATGTCATAGGAGACATGCCTGGCTACTTACTAGTTTTTTATTTCATTTTTTTTTTGTTTTTTTTTGTTTTGGGTGAGTTTTACACCCACGGTGTCCTTGGATGACACCTTGTAATTTGTTTTTGTTTTGGGTGAGCTTGACACCCACAGTGTCTTTGAACGACACCATGTTTTTTTTTTTTTTTTTTTTTTTTTTGCGGCCAGGGACTGCCATTATTCACTCTTGTGTGGATCAAGGAGATCTCTTATTTGAAAACAGTGGATGGAAAAGGACCGCGTTTACCACCATACGTGGTTACCATACATCATAATCATCAGGTTGGAGTATCAATGATAAATTTTCAATGGTAAAACTTGAGCAAGTGTTCTGCGTTCCAAGTCCTCTCAATTTCTTTTCCCTTCGGCGTCTGGAGTTTGAACGTCCCTGGACGGATCACTGATTTAATCACGTAAGTGCCTTCATAATTTTTGGCAAATTTCCCCCCTTCCAAGGGTTTGCTGACCTCCCTTTTTCTCAAGACATAGTCCCCAACTTCAAAGTTGCGTTTACGAACTCGAGAATCATGGTATCCCTTCACCTGCCTTCTATAGTTCTCCGCACGGCAGAAAGCCGCTTCTCTTCTTTCTTCAATAAAAAGAAGCTCGGTCGCCATGACCTCCTCGTTCGTCTCGGGGTCATATTCCTCTTCTCGGCGGCTATGGAGAATTACTTCCGCAGGTGCCCTCGCCTCGAAACCATATGTCAAGGAGAATGGTGTCTCCCCTGTGGCCTTTCTTGGTGTGGTCCTGTATGCCCAGAGTATCTGTGGTAGTTCTTCAGCCCACTCCCCTCCGGCAGCTTCCAGCTTTTTCTTCAAACCGTCCATGATCGTGCGGTTTGCATTCTCCACTTGGCCATTCGCTTGGGGATAGGCAACTGACGCATTGCTGTGTTTGATCCCCCAACTCTCACAGAATTCGTTAAACCCGGATGCTCCGAATTGCCTCCCATTATCGGTTATGATCTGTTGGGGTACTCCAAAGCGACAAAGGATGTGCTTCATGACAAATTTTCTGCATTGCCCTTCAGTGATGCTTGCTAGGGGTACTGCTTCTATCCATTTAGTAAAATAGTCTATGGCAACGATAACCCATCTCACGCTCCCTGTTCCCCTTGGTAAGGCACCAATGAGATCTATTCCCCACCTTGCGAAAGGTATAGCCGTGCTGATGGGGGTGTAGTTGGTGGCTGGACGTCCCGGAGATTTCTGGAACTCTTGACACACCACACACCTCTTGACAAATTCAGCGCAATCCTTAACTATGGTTGGCCAGAAGAAACCTTGTAGGATTACCTTTCGGGACATGGTGTGTGCTCCTTGGTGAGCTGAGCATATCCCTGCATGTATCTCTTCCATGGCAACCTTGGCTTCATCTGGTCGTAAGCACTTGAGAAGCGTGCCATTGTAAGACCTCTTGTACAGTTTCTCATTCAAAATGGTATAACTCGGCGCCCTCATCTTAGTCACCTTGGCTTCAACCTCCTCCGCGGGCAGCACTCCCTCGTTGATATACTTGATGAGGGAGTCAATCCAGTCCGCGTCCCTCGTGGTTATGGCCTGGACAGGGCATGCATATATGCTGGAAGTGTCCAACTCTTCTATCCTTGCAATCTTTGAAATCCTTTCCGGTGTCTCTGCACTTAATTTGGATAACATGTCTGCTTCGACATTTTGCGCTCTTGGTATCTGTTCAATTTCATAGGCGATGAACAATTTCAGAAGTTCTAGGGCAGCGTCACGATATAGCCGCATCCGTTCTTCCTTCGCCTCAAACTCAGTCGTGATCTGTCCAACCACTAGTTTTGAATCACACCGTATCTTGACCTTCTCTGCCCTCATGTTTGCTGCCAAGCGTAGACCACATAGTAGAGCCTCGTACTCTGCCTCATTATTCGACACCTTGAAGTTGAACCGGATAGCGTAATAGGCCCTGAAGCCTTCGGGCGTGGTGAGGACCACCCCTCCCCCGCAAGATTTGGCCGCGGAGGAGCCATCCGTGGACAGTATCCACCACTCTTGTTCATCGTCGCCATGCTTCATCTTCGTTGCTTCCTCCCGCGCCGTGCATTCTACTATGAAATCTGCAAGAGCTTGCCCCTTGATGGAAGGTCTTGGCTTCACCTCTATATGAAATTGACTTAGATACACTGCCCATTTGACCATCCTCGAGGAAGCCGTGGGACTCCTCATTAAGGCACCCAGGGGTTGGTGTGACAGTACATGGACAGGGTGAGCTTGGAAGTATTGCGTGAGCCATTTGACCGTCCACACCACGGATAGAACAGTTTTTTCTATGGTTGTGTACCGTAGCTCAGCGTCCCTCAAAGTTTTGCTTACATAGTAAACGGGTCTTTGGACGCCACCATCTTCACGCACCAAGACAGAACTAACTGCACTTGGTGAAACCCCTAGGTATAGGTATAGTGTCTCCCCCGCTTCAGGTTTAGATAACACTGGAGGAGACAAGAGGTAGTTTTTCAATCCCTCGAATGACTTTTGACACTCCTCAGTCCATACGAAACCCTTTGATTTCTTCATGATGTGGAAGAATGGCGTGGCTTTCTCCGCTAGTTTTGATAAGAAGCGGTTCAAAGCCGCCAAGCGTCCCGTCAATCGCTGCACTTCTTTGACATTACGAGGAGGTTCCATTTCGAGTATGGCCTTGACTTTCTCCGGATTTGGCTCGATTCCTCTTCTGCTTACCAAGTAACCCAGGAACTTCCCTCCTTGCACGGCGAACGTGCACTTCTTTGGATTGAGACGAAGATTGAACTTCTCCATGATTTTGAACACCTCTGCCAAATCCACGGCATGCGTACCTGCTCTTTTACTCTTCACAATCATATCATCCACGTAGGCCTCCATGGTGCGGCCTAGGACAGGTCGAAAAAGTTTAGAGATCATGCGGGTGTACGTTGCCCCAGAGTTTTTCAGTCCAAACGCCATGACTAAGTAACAGAAAACACCCTCTGGAGTCATGAATGAGGTCTTCTCTGCATCCTCCTCATGCATGCGAATTTGGTGGTATCCACTGAAAGCATCCACGAAACTCATCAATTCACACCCCGCTGTCTCGTCCACCAATTGGTCGATGTTAGGCAATGGGAATGGATCCATCGGGCATGCCTTGTTTAGGTCAGTGTAATCCACACACATCCTCCACGTTGGGGGTTTAGGTGCCAATACCACATTTGCCAACCATTCTGGGTATTTCACCTCCTTGATGTGGCCGATTTTTAACAAGGTGCCCACTTCTTTCCTTACGAATTCCCGCCTGTCCGAGGACATGTAACGTTTCTTTTGTTTCACCGGTTTTGACATAGTGTCCACATCTAGGCGATGAGAGATGACATCTCTACTGATGCCCGACATGTCCTCTGGTCCTCTTGCAAATATGCCTTGGTACATAGTCAGGACGGTTATGACCTCAGCGCGGAGCTCAGCTGACAATCCGGTGCCTATCTTAACCTTGCGCTCTGGGGTTGCAGGGTCAAGGGTGACCTCTTCTGTCCCTTCTGCTGGTTCAGCACGGGGTCTTCGCTCTTCATCTTGTAGGTATTGTGTGGCCACAGTGTTTACCTGGAGGCCATGCCGCCCCACCTTCTTTGTGATTTTTATGTAACATGTTCGGGCGAGCTTCTGGCTCCCGCGTGCTATCCCCACTCCGGTTGGTGTTGGGAACTTAATACAAAGATGTGTCGGGGACACAATGCACTGCAAATCTTCCAGGCCTGGCCGTCCGAGTATAAGATTATGTGCACATGTCAGTCGGACAACTACGAACTCCATGTTGAGTTTCACTTTATGGGACGTGTCCCCCACCTCCACCGGGACCGTGACAACTCCCTCTGCCTCGATAGAGTCACCCGTGAACCCAGATAACGGGGTTTTTATCGGATGGAGTTTTCCTTTGGACAACTTCAGTTTCTCGAAAGTGTCGAGGTACATTATGTTAACGGAACTTCCAGTGTCGACCAGGGTACGGTGTATGACAAGATCATTGATCTCCATTTTGATAACCATGGCATCCCGATGTGGGCTTGGACATGGTGGTAGGTCTTCATCAGTAAAGCATATAGGTTCACGTCGTACCTTCTTTTTCATTGGAGAGTGCATGATCTCACCAATATACAGTTGACGAGCCCATTTCTTTCGAAGGGACGAAGAGTCCCCGCCTGCATTACCTCCATAAATGAAATTGATGTCATGGTTCCTCTTGTCTCGCTTCGGCCCTGGCTCATCCGAGGCATCCTCGTCACTCTCATTTCCAATGTGTCTTTTCTCTGCCCTTCGGGTCTCCGGCTGCGTGCATGCCACTTGTTCTGATGATTTCCGCCATACATGGTTGGGCTGCTGTGCAGCCCCTTTGACGAAGTTACTCAGATGGCCCCTTTGGATCAGTCTTTCAATCTCGCGTTTCAAGGTAAAGCA